GTAATTCCGGCTACTTGGAAGGCTGAGGCGGAAGGATCACCAGAGCCCAGCAGGTCGAGACTGCGGTGGCCAGGAGCGGCCACTGCACTCCAGTCTGGGCGGCAGAGTGAGACTCCAACTCAAAAAAATAAAATAAATAAATAAATAAATAAAAATAAGTATCATTGAAAATGAGTTTAAAATCATATCCCAGAAAGGAAGCATTTTTTATACCTGCCTACTGACACACTTTTGCATTTCTCCATGAATTCAGTGACCATTAGCATGTGGTGTTGTGGTTCCCAGATCAGTCAATATTTGAATATCAAAACTAGGACTTCTCTAGACATTTCTAGCTGGGAAATTTTTATAATTTCTAGTGCGGTTGGGATATGTTATATGAGAGAAGCAAATGCAGCTAGGTATTTTGTGACAAAATAAAGAGACATACATCATAATAAGGAACTTGATTGGGGTTCTTTTGGGTTGTCTTCTTAGAGGCATTTGGTCTTTCTGATGTGCATTAGGTTAATAGGGAGCAGCTCTGCCCTGTATCTTCTCTGTTACACACAGAGTCATGGCAGAGGCAGGGACTGGCCTTGGATACTCCTGGGGCAAGTTCAAGACACACATTGAAATGGAATTCCAATTTGCATTTCCATCTCTTTCAAGTAGTTTATGCAGTTTAGAAAACAGTATAAATAGCAACAGAACATGCTTAGAGAGAGCTGAGCCTTCGAGGGATATTTGATAGAGACTAAAGCAGTATTGAAACCAATCACTTATTTTACCCAGTTGTAATTCTCAGGCCCAACTGCTGTTTACTATCTTAATTACTTAGACATTGTCATTTATGGCTCTCTTTGTATCCTGTGATGGTATATATACTGAGTGGCAAAATCCATATGTATCTAAATTTCTATTTATAAAAGTGCATTAAAGTCATCTAGAAACCTGAACTCGAATGTTAGTGTGGCAGCTGCTGTAATGCACCATGTTTATGAGGTAAATTCTGTTACGTGAAATATATTGAGACAGATGCCATATGATATGCAATATCTACTCTTCTTTCTAACTATTATGCTGTCCAAAATAACTTTTACATTTATGGCCAGAGCTGAAAAATTGCTTAATTCTGAGAAAATGAGTTGCTGGGGCTATGGCCTAAACTAAGCGGTCCCCGACCTTTTTGGCATCAGGGGCTGGTTTTGTAGAAGACAATTTTTCTACAGGCTAGGGGTAGGGGGAATGAGAAGGGGGTGATTATCAGGCGTTAGATTTTCATAAGGAACACACAACCTAGATCCCATACATGCTTAGTTCACAATAGGGTTCTTGTTCCTGTGAGAATCTAATGCTACCACTGATCTTAACAGGAGGTGGAGCTCCACTTGCCCACCACTTATTTTCTGCTGTGTGGCCCTGTTCCTAACAGGCCACAGACCCATGCCGTTCTGTGGTCTGGGGGTTGGGGATCCCAGTCTAAGCTGTAACTGGACATGACAGACAGCATTGTCAATTCAACATGAAAGCCTGAGGGTCTAGTAGATACAGTTCTGTTTTAAAAAGAGGAACATCACTAGTAAGGAAGGAAGGGCATACCATATGTGAGGATTCAGATCAAGATTGTCTTCTTCTATATATGATTCTGCATGGAGCTACCAAAATATGGGACACATTCATGATCTCTTGTGGGAACAATACTAATAACAAATACTAACTGCTTCTTTTATATCAGTGTAGAAAGAAATAGTGCATAATTATCATGTATGCAATTATAGCACTTTGTGTGTAATCATGTTTATGTAAGCATATAGATTGCAGGTCAGAGGCAGTCTCCAGCCTTCAGAACACTTTTCAAGATCGAAAATGGTTGGGTGCAGTGGCTCACACCTATAATCCCAGCATTTTGGGAGTCTGAAGTAAGAGGATTGCCTGAGCCCATGGGTTTGAGACCAGCCTGGGCATGGCGAGACCGCATCTCTACAATAAATCAAAAAAATTGGCCGGGCATTGTGGTGCATGCCTGTAGTTGCAGCTACTTGGAAGGCTGAGGCGGGAGGATTGTCTGAACCCAGCAGATTGAGGCTGCATGACTAGGAGTGTGCCACTGCACTCCAGCCTGGGCAACAAAGTGAGACTCCAACTCAAAAAAATAAAATAAATAAATAAGCAAATAATAAAGATTGAAAATGTTCAAGAAACATATTTATCATGTCTTTAGCATATATGTTAAATAAGTAATTAAGCGATTTTTCGATAAAAAATCTAAAATCTACTTAAGTTTCATTAAGAACATACTGCTCCTTGTGTATGAGTATGTATACTTATGAGTATGTATATGATTTTATTACATGTGTATTTTTTTTTTTTTTTTTGAGTTGGAGTCTCGCTCTGTCACCCAGACTGGAGTGCAGTAGTCGCTCCCGGCCACTGCAGCCTCTACCTACTGAGCTCCGGCAATCCTTCCGCCTCAACCTTCCAAGTAGCTGGAACTACAGGCGTGCGCTACCACGCCCAGCTAATTTTTGATTTATTGTAGAGATGAGGTCTCGCCAAGTTGCCCAGGCGGGTCTTGAACCCGCGGGCTCAGGCAATCCACTCATCTCAGCCTCCCAAAGTGTGGGATTACAGGCTGAGCCACCGAGCCCGGCTATATTTTAAGATTAAAATAATGTGATGTTGCATCCAACTGAACCTTGTACAACTTGTTTTAAGAAGTATAAGTTGGGCATCAGAAACTAGTGTGGGTGTCACAGGGCCTCACTAGCTGTAAGACCTAGGCTTAGCTTCTCAACCTGAATTAACTGACAGCAATTTCCTTCAACTATATACTCTATTTCTAGAATGTTAGTACTAATTTTATAGGATTTTTATGGGAATCAAAGAAGTTAGCATATTAGTGAGCTTTGTCAGCTGCAAAGCACTCCACAGATTATAGTAATTATTCTAATATGATGCTCTCTTATGAACTCTGTAGTTTCCAGATGTGATCTAACTTGTCCTCATAATTCCCCTGGGGCATTTTTCCAGGTGATGATGCAGGAGTAAGATAAGCCCATCAAAACTGAATTTGACCTTGTCTCAAAGGGTCCTGTTCCTTATTTTCTAAACCTCATTGTTGCTACATGTCTGCCCTGAATACCGTCCTTCAATGCTAATGCCTTCAAATGTTAAAAGAACAATTTCAGTGGAAAATATATTATTTCCAAGGTGATGTTGAGCTTGATTTTTTTAAAAAAAAGATGCTTGTCTTAGTTCAGAATGCTATAACAGAATACCATATGAAAAGATCATGTCCCTTCTCGTAATGGCATTAATCCCATTTAGAGGACTCTGTTCTCATGACCCAATTACCTTGCAAAGGCCCTGCCCCTAAATACCATCACAGTGGGAATTAGGCTTCAATGTGTGAATGTTATGCGGATACAATCTTTCAGTCTATAGCAATGCTAGTTGTCACTTAGCACTTGGAATTGTTGGTAGGAGAGTATCCTGTCCCATTGTGTATTTTGTTGTCAAGCGGACCTTGAACAATTATCATAATACTATAAGAAGAGAATTGGGAAACTGCCAGGGAAAGGGTGGGTGGGATTGGCAGTTGAGGGAAACTGCCAGGGGAGGAAGGGCACGCCTCATCAACAAAGGTACCTGCATAATGAACATTTGTATACTTAACCCTAAATTGTACTCTACATCTTTTTTAAAATAAAAATTTTTAAATAATGATGATTTTAAAATAGATTTTTTTAAAAAAAAGATCTGTGAGAGGAACAGCTGTTTTTCTTGATTCCCATGCTTAGAATTAGTAGTTAAGTGAGTGCCAGCTTCTCCTGATAGTCATTCACTTGTTGGTGAACAAAACATTTAAATTTCAATTGTATTTACTGTATATAGTGTTGCCTTGTGTAAAAGGGTAGGACTTGTTTGTATGATGAGTTTCAAAGGTTTTTTAATTCATTTTGCTAAAGCAAGACATTTCATTATAGCTCAATAAAGTGATTAAAAACAATTCATCAAAAATGTTTGTTTGTTTTGAATTGGAATCTCACTCTGTCACCTAGGCCCAAGTGTGCAATGGCACACTTATGGCCACCCCAGAGTCGACCTGCTGGACTGTGGTGATCCTTCCGCCTCAGCCTTCCAAGTAGCTAGAACTGCAGGCACATAGTTCGACTAATTTTTTATTTATTGTAGAGATGAGGTCTCGCCAAGTTGCCCCTGCTGGTCTCGATCTCACAGGCTCAGGCAATTCACTAGTCTCGGCCCTCCAAAGTGCTAGAATTACAGGCTGAGCACTTACAGTTTTGTTTTTATGGATTTATGTGCAAAATAAGTATTTCTAACTTATTTGCTTCTCCGAGCTTCTCCCTGACCATAAGCCTCCAAGGTAGTTAAAGCATGTGTCACCCACATTTTACAAAAAGTAAACTACAGCTCAAGTTTTATGCCTACCAAGCTATGGAGCTGAGACTTGATATAAAATTTCTTGGCAGGCTGCCTAGGCTGGTATCTCTTGGCAGTCCCCTTGTCCCTCTGATCTCTTAGTAAATATCTTTGAATTATTCTTTTTGGTATTTGCAAAGTACCTAACATTCCCCCCCCCAAAAGAAAGAAACAAGCTTTTTGATTAATGCAAAGCCTTAACTATGCCTCAGTGGCCCACAGAGTACTCCAGGTCCCATCACCTGCCTTCCTTGTCCCTATACTGTGGTATTTCGCAGCAGTTGTCCAGGATTATTCTTCCCATGTGTTAGAATTTTTTTTTCAGGTTACTTAAGGAATCTTGAAGATAATCATGACAAAGAATCACAAATGCTATTGTGGAACTGAATAATGAATTGGGTCCCATATGTCCATGCTGATGAGTGCTTTTTGAGCTGCAGATGAAAAGAAAGTAGTGTCATCAAACTGTGGATGAACGTTACCCTCAAAGTCCCATTATCTACTAAGAGAATAGGGTAGGAACTGCATTTGTGCAGGTGCAATACCATGTTACTTTTGGGTACTAAGCTTGAGATGTTTGGAATACAAATTGAGTTTCCTGTTAAATATTAATCTTTTTTTTTTTCTTTTATCCTCAGCCACTCACAACTGACCTTCACTATTATTACATCCTGGAGCTGTCATTTTATTGGTCTTTAATGTTTTCCCAGTTCATTGATATCAAAAGAAAGGTAAGAGCAGTTACAATGTAAAGTGCTTGCAAACATGCGTCTTTACTGGCCCTTAGCTGGTGAGTGTAGACTTTCCAAGACTCTCACCTCTGTTCTCCTGGCAGTACTAGGTTAGCATTGCTTTCTGCATTATTACAGAAAGTTCTCTATTTTCGTTTGTGACATTTTGTATTTTGTTTCTATTGTCTCTTCACTCTTTCCCCAAAACCCAGTGTTCTTTTGTTCATGAAAAAATATAGCAACAAATCCCGAAATCAGTTCTTTGCTCTCAGTCTCATTCCCAATTCCCTCTGTTCTCCAAATGAAATAAAAAAAGAAAAAAAGAAAGAAAAATTGTAGCTTCTGGTAGAGAGTAAAATCTCAGTTTCAGTCCAACACAATGAATTCCCCAATTGCAGGGTAATCTAGTGTCAAAATAGATCACAGAAATATAACATTCCTAAGTGAACTGATTTTCACCTACCCCTGCCACTGGAATCACATTTGTATGACCTCCTAAGTGTGAAATCCACTTATTCTGGCTTGCATTCTACCAGTTTCTGGGCACTTTTGACTCCTCCCAGTTTTGGGGGGTTTTTTTCCTCATGACATCATTTTTTCAAGTTTTTTGTATTTGGATCAGTCCTTCAAAGTCGTCTTTCCCCATCATAATTTATTACATACCCCATTACGTCTCTATCATATTGCTCCATGCTCTACATATTTGGGTGCACCAGAGTTCTAGACCTGAATTATAGGGTGTCATCTCCCTGGATAATTGCATTTGTACCTTCTAACACTTTCAGCCATAGCCTACATGCCAAGAATTCCCAAGTATTTCTCTTCTGCCCCAGATTATCTCTGGGTCCATTCTTCCACATGTCTAGTCACAGATAATAGTACAGGTTGAGCATCCCTTATCTGGAAATCCAAAATGTTCCAAAATTCAAAACTTTTTGATGCCAATGTGATACTCAGAGGTCATGCTCAAAAGAAATGCTCATGGGAGTATTTTGGATTTGGGATTTTTGTATTAGGGATGCTCTCTGTAATCATAATGCAAACAATTCAAAATATGAAGAAAGAAAATTTGAAACTCTTCTGGTTCTAAGCATTTTGGATAGGAATGCTCAACCTACATTGTGTTCTTTTGTTTATTATATAATTTAATCCTCACAACAACTCTGAAATCCAGTTAGAGTATTTACTATTTACCCTTGTTTTATGAACAAGGAAACTAAGCCTTATATACAAAGTGTTCTAGACTGAAGACACTATCTCCTAGTCTTGTTCTTACTCCAATAACCCTATAACAGATAGTCATGGAAGCTTGGAAGTTTTCCTTTTCTTTCCTCTTTGCTACTTTTTATACATACTTCCTTAATATTGCATACACACTTAGTTTGAGTCCTCTGTACTTTTGTCCACTCTATTTATTACATAGCCCTCTAAACAATCCTCCTATCCGAATAGTCATCTTGTCTACCTATCAACTAAGAATTATGTTTCTAAAATCTTCAAGGCAAAGCCCAAATAGATGGAGTAATATTCACAGTTGTAAACAGTATGACTCAGACCCACCTCTCTAGTTCAGTTGCCCACACCTCCTCCTCCCCACCCTTATAACACACACATACCTCCTAGCTACTAAAATCTTCTCACCATTGTTCAAACACATTAAATTTTTCTATGCATGTATATATTTTTTTACAAGACCCTGCTGTGGCTAGATTATGCCATATTTTCTACTTTTCCCTTGTCATCAAATAAGATGTTGCCCCAAAGTAACCCCTTTTTTGAAGCCTTATTTGGTTTCTTCCAGATTTTTGACCACTGCTTCAGGGTTTAGTTTGCAAGAGTGTCCCCCACTTGCCATATTGTATTTAACAGTGTGGAGACCTGCCTCTCTCCATTCAGTAGAAATGGAGAATGAAGAGCAGTGTCTAGTCCATTTGAACTGATACAACAGAATACCATAGACTGAGTAGATAATAAACAACAGAAATCTATTTCTAAGGTGGGAAGTCCAAGATTAAAGTACTATCATGTTTGGTGTCTGGTGAGGGCCTGCTTTTTCATAGATGGTGCTTGCTTTCTGTCTTCACATGGTGGAAAGGGCAGAACTTCGAAAGCTAGGATTTCAACATATGACTTTTGGGGTGGCACAAACATTCAGCCTATATCAAGCAGGATATATGCAACTTTCTTCTCCCGTTACTCTAAGTCTACCTGCTCATGGTGGAAATTAGGAAGTAGAGGGGGAATGAGTGACACATTTCCTTTGCAAACTGGACTGTACATTAGGATGAAACATATTACTATATGTATCATTTCTTGGTTAAACCACTAGTCTGCTAAGTTGCAAAGTGGTATCTGAGTGACAGCTCAAAAGCATTGAGGAGTCTGTGGGCCTACCACCCGAGTCCCCTTTCCTCCACTGTCCTACAGCAGTGGCTTACTTGGTTAGCAAAAAACTGTCTTTCCTGACTTGTATGACTACAAGGCCTTAATATGGTGTCTGTCATCTGATTCCCAGAAGAAGGGTATGATCCCTGTGAAGATGAGCTTAGGCAGAGTAGATGTTTCTTGGTACCTGTAACTTGTGAATCCCATACTCTCTGTGCTCAACGCTCTGGGTCAGTTTCTGGAAACATTTAAAGATCCTTCAGTGATGGGATGTCAGTTGGGTCTCGTCTCTCTCATGGGAGGAGCCTTCAGATATACAGTATTGGTGCTCATAAACTGATTATTGTCAATGTACCAGGTACTATGCAAGGCTCACTTTGAATTTTCTTTTCTTTTTGAGGAGCCCTATTGTCCAGGTAGTCACACAAATACTTATAACAAAGAGAGAGATAGAACATTCTTCCTTTTCGCAAACTTGGGAAACTTGATGTGCAGTATGTAAGTTTCTCAAGGCTGTGCAATGTGGGGATGAGTTAGAACCCAGGTTTGCCAAGCAGAGTCTTGTGATTCACTCGCATATGAGACATGTCCACAACCGTCTCCTTGCCATGCTCTTGACATTAGAGGTAGTAAGCCAGCCAGGTGTGGTGGCTCACACCTATAATACTAACACTTTGGGAGCCCAAGGTGAGAGGATTGTTTGAGGCCAAGAGTTTGAGACCAGCCTTTCAACACAGTGACACCTCGTCTCTACAAAAAAAAATCAAAAAATTAACCAGACATGGTGGCAGGTACCTATAGTTCCAGCTACTCAGGGGGCTGAGGCAGGCAGAGGGATCGCCTGGGCCCAGGAGGTTGAGGCTGCAATGAACCATGATCATGCCACTGTACTTCAACCTGAGCATCAGAGTGAGACTCAGACTCCAAATAAAAAAGGTAGTAAACCTTTTAAAGCTCTTTGCCATTTTACTGGTTCTTCTTTTGCTTAGTGAGAACTAGGAGTGCCATCCAGAGTCAAAGAGATTAATAAAAGCAGGAGTAGCTGTCCCTGGCTTCCCGAAGCCTACTCCTGGTGAGACATTGTTATACTAGCAGTCACCAAGCACCCTCTACTTGCATGAGCTTTTTCATCATGCATGTAATGTTGTCTTTTCAGGGAGCCAGTAGGCTCAGAGTCCACTGCCTTAAGCCAAATAACCATTATCTCAATGGTTTTCATAGATGAACTACTTTCAAGGGTTGAAGTGTATCATTTTGTATGACTTTAACATAATTAATATCAGTGTAGAAAGCACCTATAAAAAGGATAACTTTACAGGCCTGTCCATATTGTTATTGTGTAGAAATTACCAAGAGCCAATACCAAGAACTTGTTTTAGACACCTGGCACCTCTCCCTTCTTCTGTTGGTCAAAGTACTTTTCTAAATTCCTGATGCAGCTGGCTTTTTCTTATTTCTTGCACGAAATGGGAATTTGGCCTCTAGCAGACATGTTTATTCTTTGGCACAGGTTTTAACAAGGAAGGCCCTTTCCTCTGCTGCCATCTCTCATTAGTGAGCTGAAGCTTTGCTTTTCCCCTTCTCATCTTGCTGAGTAGCCCTGTGAGTCCTTGGCAGTTCTGTCCTCATTACACCCCCACCTGGAGGACCTGCTGTTCCAGCCATCAGTGAGGATTCTGTCTGCCAGATATGCTCTCCACCTTCTTCTGAAACTATTAACTAGACTCTCGGAACACAGCCTGCTTCTTAATGATGGAATAGAGATGTTTGAAGACACCTGTTGACCATATAGGATGGCAACTTCTGAGGGCTGTTCATGAGGTTGTTAATAGAAGGGTTGTCACAGTGTTTCTGTGACTATCATACTAAATGACAGTGCACATGAATGGCCATTTTCAGACAAATACCAGGGTTTATAAACATCAGATCCGAATGCATGCCTCAAACTTTTAATCAATACCTTAAATGAGGTTTACCAATCTTTTTTTTTTTTTTTTTTACTTTTAATGAGTTCATGACTCTTTCTAAGATGGCTTTTATATTCACAAACTCTTCTTTTTTTGGCATCTTTTTAAAAAATTTCTCTATCTCCACATCTGAAGTTTAAAAATTAGGGGAAAACTTTTCATCCTTGTGATGACAGAGCACATTGCCTCTCTTTTGATCATTTCCAGAGTTGGTACTTATTTGGTCAGGGATGAGAAATGGGACTCTTCCTAGAGATAAGGGACTAACAAAGATATAATGAAATTATAGTTTAAATATTCTATTATGCACCACAAAAATATTAAATATTTCTGATAATTTTTCTTCCTTTCTTTTTTCTTCTTTTTGCCTCTAATCCTCTTTCTTTCTCTCTCTTCCTCTCTTCTTTCCTTGCTTGTTTTGTTTTCTTTAAAAAAAAAGTGGCCGGGCTCGGTGGCTCAGCCTGTAATCCCACGCTTTGGGAGGCCGAGGTGAGTGACTTGCCTGAGTCTGAGGGTTCGAGACCCGCCTGGGCAACTTGGTGAGACCTCATGTCTACAATAAATTTAAAAAAAAAAAATTAGCTGGGTGTGGTAGCGCGTGCCTGTAGTTCCAGCTACTTGGAGGGCTGAGGCGGAAGGATCACCGGA